CGGGCCCCTGATGTCAGGGGGTGTGGCATATGCTAATGAGTTATGCTAACGAGTTCCCCTAGGTCTTTTTCTACGAAATGACCCCTGGAAACTGGAAACACTCATAGTGTCTTTAACATCGCCACAGTGGCTCAGAGACGCTGAATTGCAGACCACGAGGTTGGCAGTTTGGCAGTTGTTTAGTCATGCCCGCCACATGATCATGGAAACATCTTCGGACAGCGCTGCTCTTCGGCTTGGAAACGGAGAGGAGCGCCACCCCCTGGAGTCGGATTTGACTGGCTTTCGAGCAAGGGAACCCTTTTGAGGCTATGTAACACTTTCACTGAAGGTCCGGTATCCCAGAAGAAACCGATCACTGTAGCATACCCTCTTGTGGGCTTGCCGGCTGTCAAATGTTCCCATTTCACTGGGGCTTTGTCAAAGAGGCGGCCGATTCGTCAGTAGACTCCCAAGGTTAACATTCTTGAAGCCAAAGAATCACCTTCTAAAAGATTTCTTAACAGCGTTCCTTGGTCAGATACACAAAGCTTAATGATGTTCTCACCTGGGTCTGATGGGTTAGAACGTCATTCAGAGGTGAGCATTTCCAGTTTCCTTACTGGCATTTAGCAGTGAAACTGTTGCACAGCCTGAGGGCAATGCTAAAGACTGTAGGAGTGTTTCCAGTGTTATCCCGGGGCCAAGAGGGACGGGAAATGGAGCCGCAACTCACCATAATGCGACTGGCTCCTTCCTCCGATCCGGACTGCCGTTATCTTGGCCAGAGCGTGGGGCCCTTCGTGGATACTGGGGCCCTTGGACTTGCGGGCAGGCCTCTGTCTCTGCGGGGAGGAGTAGGATTCATCTGAGGAGCTCAGATCGTCGTATCTCCCTGTGGGTCCGAAAGGAAAATGGTCAGCGGACCTAGAAGCTGCGCAAACGCAAGCCGTGATCTTCAGCCCAGGTTACGGAACCCAGAGCTGCTCGGCAATCCGGCCCATTTCTCCCGTCAATCCCACCCCACCTGCCTTGACGACGTTTCAAATTGATGCGCCGGCAGCAAACCTGAACATACTAAGTAATGTATTTCCATTATGTTTTGTGCTTTCATGCCAATAAAGGTTTTGCGTGTGCGTGTGTATTAAGTAATGAGGATTTGCTATACAGGAAAGATGATGTGGAATTATGAAGATAACAACTTTCTGAAACCAGATTGCTAAGGAAGAGTCTGATAACCCGCAGAAGGGGTTAGGGGGCTAGAGACTAAAAACAAGCCTGGCTAAACCCAGAATATGTATTTATTTATTGGATGTATTAATCCGCCCAGTCCCTGCTATTGAGGGGCTCTGGGCGATGTACAGTGTCCCTAAAACACAATCAGATAAAGCCATGAACACATTAAGAACAATCAGGGCTCTTTTTGCAGAAAAAGTCCAGCAGGAACTCATTAGCATAATAGGCCACACCCAACAGCAGGAACTCATCAGCATTCCTGCCCAAAAATAGCCCTGGTATAAACATTTACTTATAACATGCTATTCTTTCAGGGGAGGTTCGCCACTTTTTTTAAAAAATGGAGAAAATATGATTTCAAGGGAGGGTGTGTGTGTGGAGGAGGAATCCCTAGAGAATAAAAGAAGAGTTCATCTTCAGTACAGTGAACAGTCTGCAGAATGAAGGAGGCAAGAGAGGGATCCCGCTGAAGCAAGGCACGGGCTCTCCTCCTTTCCCCCAACAAGCCACGGAAAAGGGTCTTAAAATCACCTGGGCCCCTGCAAAGGACCTTGGGCACCGGTGCCATGTGGAGGTCAATCAGCCCGACAATCTTGGTGTGTCCGTACTGCATGGCCAAGGTCCGCGCTGTGGCCCCCGTGCCGTCTCTCACGTCCACTCTCACGCCCTGCCGGGAAGAAACACACAAGGGAAGCTCTTGAGCGACTCTGAAAGGGAGCCGCGTGGCTGAACGGTCTGAGGACCTGAAGGAGGCGCTTGTGTATGCGCCGCACGGTCAAATCTGCCAAAGGACATGTGTCCTCGTGCCGTCTAACCGCTACACCACTCTGTCTCATAGAGGACCCAGGTTCAAATCCCACCCAGGTGACCTTGGGCCAGTAGCTCCTCAGCCAACCCTACCTCATGGGGTTGTCCCAAGGATAAAATGGAGACGGGAGAACCACAGGCGCTGCCTTGACCTCTCTGGAGGAAGTGCGCATGTGTCATGTGCTGCGAAGTCTCATCTGACTTACGGCAACCCTGTGAATTAATGATCTGCAAAACGTCCTGCCGTTAACAGCCTTGGTCGGGTCTCGCCGACTGAAGACTGGGGCTTCCTCTATAGCAGTGGTGGCAAACCTATGGCACGGGGGCCAGAGGTGGCATTTAGAGCCCTCTCTGTGGGCACGCGTGCCATCGCCCCAGCCAGGCCCAGACCATTATTAAAGTGTCGAATTCTCTGCCAAATAATTTTAAGTAAATGAAAGCATCTGGGATTGCTTTCCTTACTTTGTTTGGATCATCTTAAGTTAATGTTTGAGTTGTTTTTTCTAAAGTAAAACCTCAGTATTCAGGCTAAATTGCCGTGTTGGCACTTTGCAATAAATACGTGGGTTTTGGGTCGCAGTTTGGGCACGCGGTCTCTAAAAGGTTCGCCATTGCTGCTCTACAGAGTCAACCCACGTCCTGTTGGGTCTCCCTTTCTTCATACAGCCTTCATCTTTTCCTAGCATTACTGTCTTTTCCAGCGATTCTTGTCTTCTCAGAGGAACAGCAGGATAAAAATGGAAGAGACGCTGAATGAAAACCTTCCTTTCCCACCAGGCCTTTAATAATGGCTTTTACAACTGGCTCTTTACAAAAAGTTTTTTAAAAATATATTTGTTGGTACTTTTATTTTCCACATGTGCGTGTGTCTGTGTCTCAGCACCTGTGGATATCATGGCGACCTCTGGTGACTGCCCCCTACTGGGGGCCTGGAGGATATTCAGGGAGGTGGCTGGATAAAGCCTGCCCCCGCCTCCCACCTCTGGCATTCCAAGGAGGTCTCCCATCCAAGGACTTGCCAGAGACGATCTTACTTCACTTCCGAGATCTGATGAGATCGAGCTTTCCGGGTCAGGGCAAAGAGTTTTAAATTATGATGGCTGTTACGGAAACAATGGAACATTTCCCATTTGCATGAATTTCAGTGCTAAGGCTTTTTAGTGTGTTTGCTTCACTCTTTTGCCAGCATCCTGTAACAGATCCAGTGGGTTTATTTCGCGGTGGATCGAGGCGGCGACCTACTTTTTTTTTAAAAATAAGGTTTTTATGAGGTGATAGGTCAGAAATACAGAAGAGGTAACATGTATGAACCAGAAAGACAGTGTATAACAGTGACATTAAAGGTAAAGGTTCCCTTGCTTGAAAGCCAGTCGAGTCCGACTCTAGGGTTGCGGTGCTCATCTCCGTTCCAAAAGCAAAATCATCCTGGTTACTTAGAGACAAAGACAAGCAAACTACCTGGCGTGTGGCAGAATTTCTAGCAGCTGTTGTCAAATCACAGGACAGCTTTCGCAGTAAGGTAAAGGTAAAGGTCTCCCTTGCTCG